TTGTTAATCCCGCATAGTTATAGTAATTAAATTATTATTCCACGAAACCAAAACGCAGTAATCCGACATTACTGATGGGCGGCAGAAACAGGAATGGTGTGCTACCCTGGACTAGCGGTTTCACGACGTACTCTACTGCTACTAAAATTACAATTCGCACACACTCATAGCCCCGCACCAGGGAAACCCTGTATCGCGGGTGCCACGCATACACATAGTTGTACTAATCCGAATCGAACCCGGGGGCTCTGTGTAGCAGACAAACATAGACACCATTTGGCCACAGAGGCAGTTGAAATTTAATAAAAATTAAACATTGTTGATGGACATGGATCAATGAAAAACCTTATTAATATTTGTTGCAATCTTTTTTATTCTCTCTTTGAATTTAAGCAACAACTTTGATCAAAAACCTTAGAAATAGAACTATAATTAAGAGCATAGATATAAATTTATAATTCATTGTACAATGTCTAATGTACTAATAGAAACTCTCAATTAAAAAGCCACGGTTTAGGCCTGTACTACACGCAGTATATTAACGTAAATCTGTCAGTTAGACCTCTACAAATAACAGAATTATCTTTGGTACGGAATATAAAGTTTATAATAGTTCGTATACTAACTACGGAGTCTCAGTCCTAGTTTTACTTACATTAATAAAGTAGAATTATATATAGACTTATGCTGGTGTCAATTATTGTTCGTACATTCGAAAATAAAGTAATGCAGAGGCTTAAAATAATCGTTTTGTTTTTGTGGAAGACTGTGGTGTTTCATAAGCAAAATTCATGGATTTTTAAGGTTAAGAGTTGATACTACCTCTGCTCAAATTAATCTTTTTCCCGTCCTGAATCGGTTCTTTATTTCAGAATGTATTTTTTTACAAACAAAATTAGATCCGTTTAAAAAATGTTTACGGTATAGTGTTCTAATTAATTCAGTTGATATAAAAAAATCATTGGTATATCATCACCATCATCATCATATCAGCCGGAAGACGTCCACTGCTGAACACAGACCTCCCCCAAAGTTTGCCGGACTAGCCGGTATACATATAGTACCTATTGAATACAGCGGTTTTCTTGTAAAATTTCGAGGTAAATTTGTGTTTTTTTTTCTATCATGAAAATTTTTAGGAAACTTGTTTTCACACCTTTGACTTACAAATAAATGGACGACGGGTCTAATACAAAAACCACGAAAAAAATGTCCCAAGTCAACCTATTTAAGCGTAGTGACATGTAAAGGAATATGAAAAAGCTAAAACGTTGAATTTAAATTGTAATATCATCGCAGTACTGTCTAATTTTGCTTGCTTCGCTGTCAGTCGAACAAACGAAGACTAAAGCGTGAATGACGCTCTGTATCCGATTTTAACGCCCTATAAGTTCCGACACTTTTTAGCGCGGACCCGACGTCTATATAATTGTAAGTCAATGTTTCACACCATATCCTACTAATCAGTGTATATCCTCAACTTTACTATAATTTTTTTTCAAAGTAATTGATTCAATAGTTTCAATGTTACGCGGAATCAAGTGGTATCGACACTTAAACCAAGAAATAAAAATAAATTCAAGTCACAATTTAAAAAAACCTGTCAAAAGGGTACCCATGATGCGGCATCTGAAGACTATGCTAATTACATAGCACTCGCTGTAATTCTGCCATGGCCCGCATTGACTTACAAATAAATGGACGACGGGTCTAATACAAAAACCACGAAAAAAATGTCCCAAGTCAACCTATTCGAAATTTAAATTGTAATGTCATCGCAGTATCGCGCTGTCAGTAGAACAAATGAAGACTAAAGCGGAGTTTGGCGCTCTGTATACGATTTTAGCGCCTTACAAGTGCGGACACTTTTTAGCGCGGACCCGACGTCCATATAATTGTAAGTCAATAATGGCCCGTCATAAATTGGAACACCACTATTCAAATATATATTTAGGTATAATAAATCTTAATTCAAATAATTCGACTCGTCCGTAGAACAAAGATCTATGTGCAAGACCACTTGTTTACAGAACATAGCCACCGTAGATCGACTGTTGTTCGATTTTATATTTTAAGAAACGAAATAAGATATATAAATTCTCAAAACACCTTTACATAGGCTTTAGTTTGAATAACGAAATTATTCTGGTAACGTACTTATTCTCTTTTTGCTAATAATCACATCGGACTTTGTTCTTCGGATGAGTCGAATTGTAAATAATAAGGCACTAAGTAAATAAAATTTGACACGAACATTACTTACATATAGAAGAAATCAATTAAATAATTTAAATTGCTCAATAAAAAAACGTATACAAATAAATACACAGAACAGTAAACTAACACAAACTACTTCCCGAGATTGCGTTTCAAACAACTACAGAAAACATTTACCTATGTATGCATGTCTTATTTTTCAATCTCTATTAGTTAAAAAATGCGTTTCACCTTATTAGTTCAGTAATTAATTGCTCTCGGCACTTCCGGTGGTTGTGAAGGTCTCAGATTGGATTATCGTTACAATCGTTTTTAGGATTTATTTACTTTCACTTACACTGGAATAACAGATTCTTATCAAGTAGACTTTTAGCTTGTTTGATAATTTTAATTGAATCAATCAGAACACGAATTAAATTTTACCTACAATCATTATGCTTCATGAGCTCAGATTGAAATAAGTTTCTTTAAATTGTTCATTTCAATTGTCTAATTTACCAATGAAAATATTCTTTATTCAGACTGATTTGTTAATTGCAATTTCTTAGTACAAATTTTTTAGATCAATTCCACTTTCATAGCCGCTCACGCGATTCATGCGTCTCTGGAAGTATACCACACCTAGAGGTGCCGGTGGTGATTTTATACCGATTTATCGGATATCGAAGTTATAACAGGTAAAAGAACTAATACTAATTGTTATTTCGGTAACTACTCTAGCAAACCATAAAGTTTTTAATACCTGGGTCTGTCATTTAAAAAAAAGAATAAACTTCAAAAATACGTCGCGACAATCGTGTGTGTTATTGTTTGGGCTGGTGATGTCGGTGTTTATTTATTGAAAACATACCGTAAGTTGCGTTTTTTAAGTTTACCCTGAATATAAATGTTTATAAACTATACTTTAAGGAGTAATTTCATGGTAAACATTAGAACCACTCAAACGGAATATTATCATATTTACTCAAGTACACCAAAAATTTCATTAGTGCTTTTTAAGTGCAGGATTGGCGGTGTATTACTGCATTTTATTTGAGATGTTTTTGTTGTAGTACGGAGGGTATTAGTATTTAGCAAAGCAGAATAATAATTTTAATTTTTTTAAACTTGTATTTAAACTGAATCCTTTTCTAATTTGCGTAACCAAATAGCCGCCATTTTGCGGTAGGATGAGCGCATCGCCTGAGCGGTTAGATCATGCAATACTCGCAATGTAATTATATACCTACTCATACCTCATATAAAATGTTTTGTTTTTGCTACTACCGCTGAGTGCGTCATTTGTTCCCGCCGCGCCTAGCCTCTCGCGCCACTGCTATAAATCGCTCTGCGAAAATTGCGCGCGGTTTCGCTTAGAGCCTCGTGGCGCACTTCATAAATACATTTGTTCTTGGGACGTTGTAGCAGTCGACCACCGGTTGGTCGGCCTATATACCTATGGAGGTACGAAGTGGAGAAAGATCTCCGCGCCTTGCATGCAGAGAACTGAGAGTCAAGACAAGGCGCATTGTAGCCAATACGTATCTGCGGCCAAGACCTACTTCGGGTCATTGAACCAACGAAATAAATAATTATGTACTTCTATAGCTTAACACATCTAGTCATTGTCGACCTTTGTAGACACCACATGCGCGAACGTACAATAGTTTTGATCCCTGATTATGACCCAGTATGTTATAATCAGGGATCTGAATTGAAGGAGTTAATTTAACCTAAAGTGTAAACGTTTTCTTAATATGGCCACACCCATTTCATCATCAACCTTTTTTTACTGTTTATTTTCTAAACATAGCAAAATATAGGCTGTCTCATATTTATTTTTTAAATAGCTCAATATTTCAATACGTAAGTACCTGTAGAAAGACAACTACAATATTATTTTTTGAGACAATAATTTGTTATAGGAATGAAACTATTTTTCCGGATTTAAATCGCGTATATTTGTTTTTTCAAACAAACCGACGTTTCGGGCCCTTTACAGGTCCCATGGTCACGGTTGACTGTGAAAAATCACAAATGAACTGAATGTGAACAATCGCGAAAACCTAAGAACACAATAATTTGTTGCAAATATTTTTTGTTTCGTGCTGTCTATAACAGTTACAGTTTTAAATTGCAAAGATCTGAGGGGTACTACCACTGCGCCCGTCACCCTGAGACATAAGTTGACAAGTCCCATGTGCCTGTAATTTCACCAGCACCCTTATCCTTCAAAACACGAACACAGTAATGGTGACATTACTGCTTGGCGGCAAAAATGGGTAATTTGGCAGTACTACCCTGGATGAATTCTTTCACAATTCTGCCACTAAATAGGAAATAATAATTTGTAGTCAATGTACTCAAATTTTAATAAATAACACGCATATTAAAACATAATCGGTTCCGAGAAGTCCCGGGATTTATAGAAGGGAATGTCCACATCATTCTTTAGTTTAGCTAAATTAACACTCTTAATTCCGATCACTGATTATGATGGTTATGGACATCCACCAGAAAAATGTACATAGTATTTGTATTTATAACATTGTGTGCCTTTGTCTACGTAATGTTATACTATATTTAAGTTTCGCGTTTAGTGAATTAGAATTTATTTGAGAAAAATCTTAAACCACAAATTTGAAAGCGAACGCACCATAATCGACACCAACATAATACGTTAATAAATGCAACAATTAGATAAAATTAACAAGTAATCCATATTACATACAACTACAAAATTGATATGTTATAAATATAATTCATTTATTAAAATGCAAAATAAAATATATGCATTATTCAGTAAATTATTCCATAATGTATAACTAATTATTATTCCTTACATACTATTTTTACAGAGCTGTGAACTCAGTTGAAAATGTTGACAATGGCATCGTCAAAGGAACATCTGTTTCGATGTTCTTATTGTCAACATTGGCACCTGGGAGAGACCAAGTTGAGCTTCCAGCAGCTGTTATTCTGGGGCCCATGTTGTCGTAAGTAGACTTTAAGAAACATGTCCTACTCCTTCTCGGTAAAGTGGCACCTCCACCCAGCAAATCGGGGTACTCCTCATTATGGCCGGCTACTTGGACTGATATAAAAATGTTCCCGTAAGGAGCTGGTAATGCAAATTCGGCGGGTGGCGGTGGATAACTGCCTGGTGGACCTTCAATGGTAATTTGTACTGGTTCCAAACAACGTTGAGTATCCTCACTCTCCATCGACATTGATCTATCTAACATTTCAAATCCATAAGACGAACCCATATCTGCACTAGTCCTATCACAACTAACGGCTAAAGATGTGTCCAGTAGTTTCTTTTCTTGGTCCGTGAAACTTCGACTTGGTGGCACTCTTCGACGTTTAGTCTTCCAACAAACACACGCTGCTATGAAACCTATACAAGTCATAGCTAGCATAGATCCGCCTACCATTAAAAATGTAGAGTAATCCGGAGCGACGCGAGCTGTCGCTGTTCGGGCTTTAGGCAAAAACAAAGTTAAGTAAGCTTTAGATTCACCCGCAGAACTCTTAGCACTACATTTCCATTCACCCGACAAGTCACTCGTAACATTATTTATGGTCACATTGACCCACTGGGCACTTTTGTTTATAAAATCGTCGTTATACTCGTCGAAATGTTCAGATTTAAACGTTTGTATCAAAATTTCACTTAGTTGGTTAGTACTGTTATGGATTTCAAAATGGCGGAACGTCCATGTTACTGTGGGTTGTGGATCGCCACGAACAAAACAACCGAAGCTAATATCCGCACCCGCTTCAGTACGAATAACAGTCGGACTTGAATAGGCTGTGGGTGAACATACCATATCCTGTCCTTTTATCGACCTCCACGATATTTGCGCCAAAGTTTCGGGTCCGTTACAAAAAACTTCCTCGTTACCAAGATTTCTATTAACATCCACAAACCATTCGTGAAAGTTTCTTAACCTACAGTCACAATACCATGGATTCTCAGATAACGTTAAAGTTTTCAAAACAGGAAGATTAAAAGTATCTTGATGCAAGTGAGTAAGTAAGTTTTGATGCACATGTAATATTTCCAGCGCCCGTAAGTTTGCGAAAGCATATGGGTGTATACTACGCAATTTGCATCTCGAAAGTTCCAATTTCTTCAAATGTTGTAGCGGTGGAAACTGTTCCGCAACCAATGCACTTAATGGGTTGTCGTTAAGTATTAACAATCTTAGCCGGTCGTTTTCTCGAAACGTGTCAGGTGACAGTTGCAATAGCTCGTTTTGGGAGAGGTCTAATTCTATTAATATTCGAAGTTCTCTGAAAGCGCCCGGATGCAAGGAACGGAGGTTCGTCGAACTGAGATTTAATCGTTGTAAATTTAGCAGTTCTATACTCGCGAAGGCGTCTTGCTCTAATGCCTTTAATGGGTTGCCATGTAAGTCGAGAACTTGGATTTCTGATGCCAAATGTGGTATTTGCTTTAGTCCCGCCGACACACACGATGCAGTTTTCTTTCCTGACGACCATTTGCATTGGCATTCCGTTAATTGAGCGCATTTTGACCAATCGCTTCCGGTAGAGTTTACGAACAATAAGACGATATAGTAGGTAGCGCTCCATCGTTCCCGAATGCCCATTTCATATCAGAGCTCCTATCTGGTTCATTTACCTGAAACAAGACATTTTGACTTTGAAATGTGATCCATATAATTGGGTACATAAATGGTCTGTAGTTGAAACGGTATCTTGTGAGGTTAACCCAAACAAAGATGTTGTACTCATTAAACCTTGCTGGTTGTAATTAATTGTAGTCATTTAACCGTGTCATATCGCGGTGGCCCATCTGGAAGCGTGCTGATTCGACGCAAGATAGATAGTTGTTTAATTACTATAGGAAATAAGACAAAGGGGCTTTAAGAGGTTATCTGCGCGTCTTTGATAATTCGAAAGTGCCCTTCTGGTGCGAGTTCGTTAGTTTGAGGTTTTGCTGTCAATATTTTGATTAAGGAACGTTGTTGAGCGCAAATATAAATAAATGGTTGGTTGTAATGTATCGGGGAATATTCTCGGATCTCACTTTCTGGATGTTGCATTGTGTTTGAATTAATGTAATTTTTATTTAGTTATATCAGATAACCCTGATCCATGATAAAATTATTATGTTATGTGTTATATATTCATGCCTTTTGCAGGGCAGAATGTGAAAAACTTTACTAACTGGCAGGAAACACTCGACTACGAGTCGATTGAAAAACAACTTTATTCTGGTACTGGCAAAGGTTGCACACACCCATACACATACTCTACACATATGACAATTATGCTTTGCTCTATACACTTAGTGGGAGTGAGCATAGTAATTTGTAACATAGATCCCGAACCTAGCACAGACTCCAGCTCTCACTAAGGAACTATTTTACGTGATTTTGTACCTATTTATAGATCTTGATAGATATAGATCATAGATATACAATTTCTGGTTCTGTCTCAATGAAACAAACCAACTTGATTCCGACTTATTAAACATAAATTTATTAGAAACATCTAAAACGCTTTGAAGGTTACTGTAAGTTAAACTGATTTCTGCTGTAACTATTGAATACACTAGTTTGTCTCACAAAGATTTCTGTTTCCTGGAAAATGGTACTTTCCCAGGAAACAGAAAAGCAATATAAAGGTAGTTATAATAAGTTAAATACCTCCTTAACAATAATTCTCCTACCAAAAAATAGACAAAAGGTCACTCTATGGTTACTAACATAGTCTTATAATTCCACTGAGGAACTTATTATACCTCTCTTGTAAACTGCGCGTGAAACATAAATATATTATTAAACTCTCATATCAGTATCACATACTACTTATAGATTCATCACGCATATAAATCAAAATCTTATTACATAAATTACACGGAATAGGAATACGAGGTGTAGCGCATAAGTGGTTCGAGTCCTATTTAAAAGATAGGAAACAATTCGTGGAAATTGAAAACTTTGATCACAACTCTGGTAGAATTGAACATTTTCGATGTAGCTGTAAAGTCGTTAATGCATCTATCCTACAGGGCAGTGTAATTGGATGCCTACTATTCCTCATCTACATCAACGATTTACCTAAAGTTATAAAGGAACATTGCGTCTTATTTGCTGACGATGTATCCTTGCTAACGACATGTCGTAATGATACAGATGTAAATGAACAACTCCATAAAATGCTACAAACAACAATCAACTGGATGACAGATCACAACCTTGACATTAACTTTGAAAAACCAAAATAATAGCCTTTTATCCGTATCAGAAAAATTCTTTAAATATTAATTTTAGTTTCAACAATGTACATTTAGATCATGTTCAAGAATTTACCTTGCTTGGCTTAGTTTTAGATACACATATTAATTGGAAAGCACATATTCAAAAATTAAGATCTAAAATCGGCAAATTTGCTTATGCACTTCGCGAAACAAAGAAAACAACTAATTTGGAAACCGCGCTCACCATTTACTACGCGTAAGCCTATGCATGGCTCAACTACGGTGTAATGCTGTGGGGGAACAGCACCGAATCTCCCTCAATTCTGACCTTACAGAAAAAATTGATAAGAATCCTAGCCAACATTGATGCAACCGAAAGCTGCAAACCCTATTTCCAACAGTACAATATTTTAACTTTGCCCTGTATCTACATTTTTGAATCCTGTAAATTTGTCAGAAATTATCCCAATCTCTATAAAAGAAGGCAAGACGTACCTACAAACTATTGTTTTAGACACCAAAACAGACTTATGTTACCAAAATCAACGATCCCTCTCCATTCATCAAGTCTGTTTGTAATGTCTATAAAAATTTATAATAAGTTACCGAACTCCATAAAAGAAATACCTCACGACAGCAATTTTAAATCCCATCTGAAAAAAATATTAGTAAGTAAAAGTTAGTACCATGTAAACGAATATTTCAATGATAAAGAAATATGTTCCTGATAAGTTACATTAATGTACCAATATACCTGTACTTAATAGAAATACGTACATAAATACTAGGCGTAAAAATATTAAAATGTTTGTTATTATTAATTATTTTTATTTGTGTTTTTTTTTCTTTGTTAATGGAATTCATAGACATTTATTGTACTGACAAAATAATAATATTAATAGATTTTATTTGTAATTTAAGAATTGTATGCTTATATAAATTGTAATTATTGCATGTTTTTTTGAAGATTTTATTTGATGTTGAAATGTTTATTGATTTAATTTAATTCAAGTTAATGAAATGTTGCCCTCTCTATGTACATTGCTGTGCCCAACAGGGTCCCAAAGCTCTAATGTAAGGGTGTCCACCTGCTACAAATGTAAACTTTTGAGAATGCAATAAAGGATTGAGTATTGAGTATTGACTAGGTTTCTATGCGTTATTATTCTAAGTATGACGCCATTTCGCCAATCATAACATGCGGTTCCTGAACACGTCACAGAGAGCTTATAATATGTGTGTAGATAAGGCAGTGTATGTAACTGTACACAATTAGGCATTAAAACTCTCGTGAAATGTTTTTATGCCCTTATATTATTAACCCTCACTCGTATTTTAATACCTTTCATTATGTAACAGTCACATAAACTACTAGATATTAATATTTAATCCGTGATTTGAAGTTATGAAAAGACCTAAGGGAACTCTGAAATAACTTAATAGCGCGCCCATTACTAACGGTTTCCTTTGGGATGAGAGTCACAAATTCCTTGTATAAAGTTCTCAAACTGCATTCAAGTAAGCAGCGTGGTAACTTAAGCTAAATTTCGTCCCCGGTGTCTCCTGTATCTGAAATTATGGAATAGAACTTAAGGAATTTCTAGCGATAATAGTAATAACTAACACAAATTACACCCTAAGTCACGAGAGAAATAAATGTAGGCCATACAAATTTTTCTCGGGACCTCTGTGTGACAGTTTAGCGTGGTAACCGTTCCGCCAAAGAGGCAGTTTAGTTTATAATAATCAATTGGAATTTATTCTAATTATGTAGGAATACAAACTTATACAACGGAGAAATCAACTTGAATAATCTTCATTACATTCTATCGGCTCGATAAATATCGGAGCTAAAGAGCACGTAGCTTCACTGTAACGAAAAAACAGCGTCCATAAAGTATTGCATTTATTTTGTTTAAGGTCAGTAAGGTCAAAAGTGCCTGTCAGTAATTAAGGAGCTTCATAGACACGCTTATGTCAAAGTAAAATAAATGTTCGAATGACTCGAAATATTTTCGATGTAATCGATAAATTAAAACAATGTGATCTTCGGGAAAAAAATATGTTAAAATAGACAGCTAGGAATTAATTTCAAAATAGACTTATAAATGCAATTCCATCCGTTGGCGAGACTGGAGTAGATTTTTTTTACAATTTTAAATGGCGTGGCGTATTGCACAAACACTTTATGAGGTGAATTCGATTATGGAAATGGAAGAAAATCGATTCAAAAGTAGTTATATTGAGCTTGTATTTTGACAAAGGGGACAGCCTATCGATGGCGTCTTATATGCTCTAAGTTCTGAGAAGTGCATCAAAGTGAATTTCGTGGTAGGTACTAGTGGTTTATTATTTAATATTTTAAAAATAACCCTGTTTAGGAATTCTTATTGAAAAACTTAGTATTAATTTTCCAATGCAGGATTTCATTTCATGCAGCAACAGCCCATGTCCACTGTAACTGGAATCTAATATTTCAAAATTCTCCGGCGGCGGCACAGTATTCACCTCAAGTTGCCGCTATACATGAATTTATTAGCAGCCAGCGTTGGGCTTTGAAGATGTATAAGATAAACCGCGTTCTGCGGTGTACCGCTCAACCCACCATGTTGGACGAGACTAATTGGGAGCTTGGACTTGAGCAGTTAAACCGATACTAACCGGTAAGATAGTGGACATTAACTGTTAAATAGTTCTGAGTAATTCATTTGTTTAATCAAGGGAACAAAGAATTTTTGTAAAAAATTAATACAGATTTTTATTGTTGATACAAAGGTCGAACAATGCAGTAACATTCCTTTGATCCGGCTGGACTTGAAGCGCTTTAGCCGCCCAGCTCAACATTCAATATATTGTAATATGTAGGTAGGTCTATTACCATTGACATTTAGGTAATTGTTCTACCTCAAGGAACAGACGATCGTTTAAATTGATTTACGGGTATAGTGGTCGAAAGGGTTCAGTGAATACGAGAAAAACCGGAAATCTTGGAATGGTCCGCACAGATGCTATCCGCAGTATATGTTGTGGCCCCGAGGCCTACAAACAATGTTGATCCACACCCTGATCAGTTTATAATGTAAGGTAATGTGCGACCTATGTAATCATCATCCGACCTTTTTATTACCATTTACCCTGGTTCCTGGCCACTTACTTTTGAAATGTTCAACTTCACCATTCTTACTTTACTTCATTCTGTTGTCACTCCAGATGTGCTCTTAAGCATGTAACCTTAAGTAAGCTTTTGGAGTATGTTCACTAATATATAATAATAATAAACTAATAACGAGGTCTTAGGTTTTCGCGATTGTTACACATAGGAAATGAAACTATTTTTCCGGAATTAAAACGCGTATAGTTTTTTCAAACAAACCGACGTTTCGAGCCCCATAAAGATCCCATGACCACGGTTGACA